CCGTCAAAACCGCAGAGACGAATGAGCACTGAAGTGCGCCGACAACAGCGCGCCGACAGAAGCGCGCTGACATAACCCTAAACAGCGCGCCGACATAACCCTAAACCTAAACCTAACCCTAAACCTTACCTTAACTTAAATCGCGCTTCTGTCGGCGCGCTTTTGACATCGCGGTTTTAGCGCCGCGGTTTTGTCGGCACGCTTTTGACGTTCGCGGTTATGTCATGCCACAGAGTCTTGCACCCTTCTGGGTTTTGGACCACAGCCACCACACATCATTTGTGCACAAAGCAGCCATATATTGTGGGAAAATCTAATGTACCTGGAAAATGACAGACTGCTGTTCCTTTAACCATATGCTAGCGATAATAATATACTGTACGTGAGTCATGCAATATGCTTAGGATCTAGTGGGGGCTTGAGCAGAAAAATAGGGAGAAATTATGTTTGGTAAATGTTAAAACCTGAATACAAAATAGAATGTTTTGGTTTTGTTCTTTAGTACAAATTGAAGGAGTTGAAATAACTAATCAACAAAATATAGCAGATAAGGGGTTTGGGGTTTGGGAAAGAGTGTAATAGATCATCAAAAGTGGGTATGAAATAATAATAACATGTTAACAGCAACATTAATAAGTACATTTTACTGTATTTATACTGGGCACATTTTAACCTGCTGCGTTTTTCAAGAGCCCTGACAAATGATACAGTAATAGCAAAAATTCTTAAGATTGCTGATTAAAATACACAAATTATTTAAATATGCCAACGTAAAGATGCCTTTGAGTTAGGATCAGCTCATGGTGGCTTCTTAAAAATATGCAGAATTTTTTGAGAAGAGTTTGGAAATCAATCAATCCTGGGGATTCTTGGAACTGAAGTCTCCACACTGATGGAAGACTCCTGATTGGATGATATTTTTGGTTCCTGGATTCTGTATAATGGGGGGGGGAGGGTGTCTTCAAAATATGGTCAAGGAAGTCAGGATATTGGATTAAAATGATTTATTTAAGGTCCAACCCAATTAAAAAATAGCTTGAGTTTTGATTGCACCATTGTGGGCAGCAATCTTGGTGGTTTGCAGAAAAATTATTTGCATTTTTTAATATTGCGCTAAATACTATTTATATATTTTAAACATCCATATTAGTGGTCTGCGGGGCTTTAAATTATGAATGTAGTGGTCCCTGAAGTCTGAAAGGTTGGTGACCCATGATCTAGACCAGTGTTGCCCAATGGAAGGCATTTTAAGATGTCCGGATTTCAATTTTCATTGCTGGCTGGTGCATTCTGGGAATTGAAGTCCGGACATCTTAAAATGGCTACCACTGGGAAACAGTGATCAAGACTTGCATGACCACACCTTGAGGACACTATTCGCCATGAAGCTTTGCTCTTGATTAAACCAGATGGCCATTGTCCAGTCTCTGCATCAATTGGGAGGTGTCTACTCTCTCTCTCTCTCTCTCTCTCTCTCTCTCTCTCTCTCTCTCTCTCTCATCATCTTAGTATGTGGAAGTC